AGCCAGGACCTCAGGGGCTGGCAGGGTCCCCGTGGGGTCATGCGGCAGCGGACTGCGAGGCGGCTGGGAGAGAGCGCACTGCCCGCCCGGCTTCCATGTGGCGCCACTGGGCAGCCAGAGCCCAGCTGCGCCCTAACCCATGGCGTCCAGCTGTGCTCACCGCATCTCCGCGTGGGGACTCGGGCACCATGACTCAGGCAGAGGGGAGTTTTCAGCAGGCTCAGGGGCCCAGGTGCTGCCCAGGACCCAGGGGTCAGCTGGGATCTGCTCTTCCACACCAAACGCTCGCACTTCGATCGCTGGCCAGGCCTGGGGACTGCACCCGTGTACAAATTTCGTGCACCGGGCCTCTAGTTATAAATAAATCAACAAACAAGTATTGGCAAAGATGTAGAGAAAAGGAAAACCTCATGCAATATTGGTGGGAATGAAGATTGGTGCAGGCACTGTGGGAAGCAGTATGGGGTTACCTCAAAACACTAACAATGGAACTGCCTTATGACCCAGTGACTCCACTTCTGGGAATGTGTCTGAAGAAACCCTAAACGCTGATTTGAAAGGCTATGTACACCCCTCTCTCTCTTTCTCCCCCCCCCCCAACCCCCCACCCTCTCTCTGAATATATCCTCAGGTGAGGATTTTAAAAAGTTAGTAAATCATGACTCACAGTAAGAAATGCATTTCAAATATGACCCAGTATGTTCATATACACCCACAAGTAACTAAAAGACAAATGTCATAAAATAGCCATCCTTGCTAGGACTAATGCATTCTGCCATTTCGTATTATGTTTCATTTTGAGTTTTAAATGCCGATTGCAACCTACTAAATGGTTCCCCCCAGGCCTGGGTCACCCTCGCAGTAACAAACTGGGAGTTAACATGTGTGTAGAATGGTGTTTGGCTCATATAAGAACCCGGTCTAGGCATCTGTGACATTGATTCTTGTTTCTACACCTGGTGGGCTCCCTCTCCTCCTGCAAGGCTTAGCTCGGGCACCACCTGCTCCAGGCAGCTCCTGTGAGCTCTCTGGCTGGGCCACAGCTTTTCACTTGCATTGCACTGAAATCTTAAATGAGCCGCATGTGGAGATTCCCAGCATTCACCATGGCATCACGCTCCCCAGGTTCAAATCCCAGCTGTGTTCTCTTGACCCTTAGACCTGACCCTAAGAAACCCAAACCTCACAGTCTTTCAGCTATAAAATAAAATAAAATAAAATAAAATAAAATAAAATAAAATAAAATAAAATAAAATAATAAAATAAAATAAAATAAAATAAAATAAAATAAAATAAAATAAAATAATAAAATAAAATAAAATAAAATAAAATAAATAAAATAAAATAAAATAAAATAAAATAAATAAAATAAAATAAATAAAATTAAAATAAAATAAAATATAAAATAAATAAATAAATAAATAAAATAAATAAAATAAATAATAAAATAAAATAAAATAAATACAATACAATACAATAAAATAAATAAATAAATAAATAAATAAATAAAATAAAATAAATAAAATAAATAATAAAATAAAATAAAATAAATACAATACAATACAATAAAATAAATAAAATAAAATAAAATAAATGAAATAAATAAAATAAAATAAATAAAATAAAATAAAATAATAAAATAAAATAAAATGGGAATTGGACGAGGGGGAGAATTGTGTGTGTCCCATCTGTAAAGAGCATCCCCCAGGAGCCGGTAGCTCAAGCCCCAAGCCTCGGAGGCCCCTTTGACTCCTCTCTTTCTCCCCCACCCACATCCAATCCATCAGCAAATCCTGGGGCTCTGCCTTCAAAATAACCCAGAATGCAAGCACTCCTCCCAGCTCCTCGCCTCGCCCTGGTCCAGCTGGGGCGGTGGGGCTGGCATATTTATATAACTCCCACGTCAGCCGCTGCGGAGGCCCACTCCCGGGGTACCCGTTCCCCAGCAGGCTGACCTGCTGCCTCGATGGGAAGTATGGGCTCTGGCAGCCAGCAAAAGCCCTCAGGGCACAGAAGCTGGAAGTGGGGATGATTGGGAGCTGGGGTGGGGGCACCAACAGCTCCGCTATGCCCAGTGCCTGGAGCAGTGCAGGGCATGGACCAGGCACTCCACGTCCATTTGTTCGTGAATGAATGAATGAATGAATGAATGCCTCTGTGGTGGGCAGAAGAAGGGCTCAGTCTCTCCAAGTCCTCTCCATCCACATGGCCTTGCTCCCTGTTCACACAGCCCAGGTGCTGCTATACACATTCCCGGAGACTTTGCGGGGCGTCGTCCAGAGTGAACTCAACTACTCGGTGATCCTGAGCTGTCTGGCTGGACTCAGACCCACACCCGTGATCTACTGGACCTTCAACGGGCAGCCCCGAGGGACAGGGGAGAAGCTGATCATCCGGCGGCTGTCCAGGGAGGACTTGGGTACCTATATGTGCGTGGCCAAGAACAGCCAGGGACAGCTCTCCTCCGAGCCCGTAAAAGTCTCCCTGTCAGGTAAGTCCCCGGCCCTACCCCAAACCCCTGCACCCTCGCTGGTCGGTGGCCAGTTTTCCTGGTTCCCCTGAACCCCCTTCTGTGAGCAGTCTCCTCTGAGACGCTCTGTAGCCACGTTGTCATCCCATGCACATGGCAGATTGGGCATTATTAGCCCATTTTACAGATGACAGGCTGTGGAAGCTCAGCTCATGATCTGAAGCCCGCTGCCTGGCTCCCGGCTCCCACCACTTGCCGGGTGTGACTTCTGGAGCCCCTTTGCCTCTCTGAGCCTCAGCCTGTGCCGGCGGGAAAGTGCAGGTGCTCATGTAACAAGTGGTTCTGAGCATGGGCATGGAGTTTGAATTCTGGCTCCACGTCCTGGCCATGGGAACTTTGGACCATCCCTGTGCCTCAGTTTCCCCACCTGTAAAATTGGAAAAATAAGAGTGCCCACCCAAAGTATAGTTGTGAGCATTCAATGAGATAAGCAGGTGAACAGCTTAAAATAACAGTGCCTCATGCTAACTGACCACTAGTGAGTATTCGATACACACTAGATCAGGGTGGGCAAACTTTTTGACTCGAGGGCCACAGTGGGTTCTTAAACTGGACCGGAGGGCCGGAACAAAAGCATGGATGGAGTGTTTGGTGTGAACTAATATAAATTCAAAGTAAACATCATTACATGAAAGGGTACGGTCTTTTTTTTTTTTTTTTTTAGTTTTATTCATTTCAAACGGGCCGGATCTGGCCCGTGGGCCGTAGTTTGCCCATGGCTGCACTAGATAGTATCATTGCTACAATTAGCATTATCAATAGTATTAACTAGAGGCCCAGTACATGAAATTCGTGCACTGAGGCTGTCCAGGTGGCAGAGCCTTGAAGGCCATGCTTCCTCCCCAGGTCCTGGGGAGTCACGGCGAGCTTTTGAGCAGAGGAGGTACGGGGTCAAGTTTGCGCTTCAGAGGGGACACTGACTTCCGTAGGTGGGGCGATGGGTGGGGAGAGACTGGGGCGGGAGAGCAAGGAGGAGGCCTGGGCAGAGACCTGGAGGATGTGGAGGAAGGGAGGGATGGAAGCGACACTGAGGAGCTGGGACGGTGGGAGTGGGGGTTGTGGAGGGAGGGCGGTTGCTCCGGGCTCACCCATTCTCGGTTTCCAGAAGTCGAAGTGGATTCCACAGACGAGCCCATCGACCCGGACCCCATTCTCACGGTGTCAGGAGGATCTGCTATCGCCCTCCTGCTGGCCGGATGTGCCGGGTTGGTGGTGGTGATGGTAGGAATTGGCTCCGCCATCGCCCAGGCCCAAAGGTACCGTCTGTCCCTGACCCGTGTGCCTGGACTGACCTCCCCACTCAGCGGCCAAACAAAACAAAAGGAAGCAAAACGCCTCGTCCCAGGGAGCTTTAGGCTCATTCAGAGCGGATGGCACTGACCCCGTGTGGCCATCTGCCTCCTCAGCTCCCACAGTGACCACAGGAGTCAGAAGAGGGTTTTTGTTTTTTGTTTTTTGTTTTCTTAAGATTGTTGATTTGGGGAGGTTTTTTCTTTTCTTTTTTTTTTTAAATATATTTTATTGATTTTTTACAGACAGGAAGGGAGAGGGATAGAGAGTTAGAAACTTCAATGAGAGAGAAACATCGATCAGCCGCCTCCTGCACACTCCCCACTGGGGATGTGCCCACAACCAAGGTACATGCCCTTGACCGGAATCGAACCCGGGACCCTTCAGTCTGCAGGCTGACGCTCTATCCACTGAGCCAAACCGGCCAGGGCAGAAGAGGGTTTTGATGCTGGTCTGTCTGGTGCAAATTCCAGTTCCATTACTTACCCGCAGTGAAGCCATGGGCAAGTCACTTCCCCTTTCTGTGCCTCCGTTTGCCTGTCTGCAAAATGGGGATGACCATCCTAATACCTGCCTCACAGGACTGTTGTGAGGATTAAACAAGCTAATATTTCTAAAGGGTTTAAAACAGTGTCTGGGATGCAGTAAGCATCGTATTCGTTCCTTCTGCACAGATCCATGAGCCAGGCGCTGGGGATACTGTGGGGGTGAATAGCGCAAAGTCCCTGCCCTCGTGAACTTTCATCCTGGGCAGATACCAACAATTAGGTGGTGGCCCAGTGAACTCTAGGCCATATGTTGAGGGATGATGAGGGCTAAGGAGAGGAATAAGGCCGGCAGGGGGACAGGGAGTGTGGGGATGAGCAATTGAGCTAAGTCAGTCAAGACCTCCCCGAGAGAGTAACAGTTCAGCAAAGACACTGGGCAAAGGAAAGGAGGGAGGGAGCCCGTGTGTATGTGGGGAAAGGGCACACCGGGCAGAGGGAGCGGCAAGTCCAAAGGCCCTGAGGTGGGACTTGGCTGGCATGTTAAAAAAAATTGCAAGGAGGCCAGTGTGGCTGGAGTGGCGTGAGGAATGGGGAAAGAAGCAAGGCCTGAGATCAGAGAGGGAAAGGGTGGGGCACCAAACAGTGGAAGGTGTGCGGGTCATGTCAGTACTTGGCTTCTGTTCTGAGTGAGATGGGGGTCATGTGGGTTTAGAGCAGAGGAGGAAATGGATGGATGGATAGATGGATGGATGGATGAATGAATGAATGAGTGAATGAATGAGTGAGTGACTGCCTCTGTGGTGGGCAGAAGTGCTCAGTTGTTCTGACTTACATTTTAATCCTAGCTGTGTCCACTATTATCATACTATAATAACTTTCCCTGTATTGAATGCCTATTATGTGCTTGCTAAACATTATTCTTTTTTAATATATTTTTATTGATTTCAGAGAGGAAAGGAGTGGGAGAGAGAAATAGAAACATCAATGATGAGAGAGAATCATTGATCGGCTGCCTCCTGCACGCCCCCTACTGGAGATGGAGCCTGCAACCCAGGCATGTGCACTTGACCAGAATCAAACCTGGGACCCTTCAGTCCGCAGGCTGATGCTCCATCCACTGAGCCAAACCAGCTAGGGCAACATTATTCTTTGTAATCTCCACAAGAGAGGGTAGCCGGGTGGGGTAGCGATGAAGATCTCAGTTTTGTCAGAGAGGAAGCGAAGGCCCAGGAAGAAGTGACTGGCCCCAGACCCCACAGCTGGAGAGAAGGGATTCCAACTCAAAACCCTGCCTCACTCCCAGTTCCAGCCTCTAACCCACGCCGCCTCTTTTTTCGCCATTAACAATGCACACCTTCGTAGCTTATGGACCGAGGAAGAGAAATCTGCAAGTTGAAATGGTTTGGCAAGGCCTTGCCCAGAACTCTGGTCTGTGAGTTCCATGGGGAGCCTTCTGGAGGCAGGGGCGGGCCAGGCGGCTGCCTGAGTCACCCACATCATCTTCCCTGTGGCATTTCCTGGGTCCTCACGATGAGCCAAGATCTCTGAGTCACAAGAACTCTCGGTGGCGGGTTCTGTTCTTGTCCTCGTTTTCAAAATGAGTGGAACCAGAGCTCAGAGAAACTCATCCACTTGCCCAACGACAAACAGCTGACAACTGGCTGACCCTGAACCAGACCCAGATCCAATTCCAAAGCCAAGTTCTTAGGAAGGAAGGGTGAGACGTCCCGCTGGCATAACCCTGCTCGCCCAGACACCCGATTTCCTGTCTCCATGAGTGGGTTGGAGGTGTCACTTCTGGTCCTCCCCACCATCTTGGCCAAGACCCATTTACTAATAGTTTCAGACAACAGATCGATTCTGGCGTCCACCAGAAGGAACCAGCCTGGGTGAATCAGCGGTGACCTCGGAGATGAGGTCATGGGAACAGGCATGACTGTCTGGACGCTACCACTGGGGAGGGGTGGCAGCCCCACACACATCGACCACACCCACCAAGGGCCAGCAGAGATCCCTGCTGTTTGCCGTTAAGGCCATGGACCCCAAATGAGGCTACTTAGGTTTATCCCAGCTCTGCCAAGTGCTAGCTTATGTGTGACATTCTGTGAGTCCTTTTATGCTCTGTGCCCCGTCTGCAAAACAGGGATGACGGTGATACTTACCTCAAAGTGTGGGTGTGCAAGCAGCTAAGACAACGGGAGGAAAGTGCTGTAAAGAGTGCCTGGTAGCCCTGACCGGTTTGGCTCAGTGGATAGAACGTTGGCCTACAGACTCAAAGGTCCCAGGTTCGATTCCGGTCAAGGGCATGTACCTTGGTTGCGGGCACATCCCCAGTAGGGGGTGTGCAGGAGGCAGCTGATCGATGTTTCTCTCTCATCAATGTTTGTAACTCTCTATCCCTCTCCTTTCCTCTCTGTAAAAAATCGATAAAATATATTTTTTTAAAAAGAGTGCCTGGGATATGTTCAGCCTTCAATAAGTGTATTATTATGGTGACTGTGGTTATAATTTCTCTTTACTTCATTGCAGGACTGACAGGCGAAGAATACGAAGATGCTGCTGAAGTGTGAGTACCTGCCTGTCAGCCTGGGAGCTGATGCCACGAAGGGCGGGAAGAGAAGCCTATGTTCAGGGATGAGATGAGGTTCCTGGGGGCTCCATAGGCGATCTCCTCCCTCCTGGTTTCCTGATCACTTGTTTGTGGGGTGTTCCCCCTTTGTTGAGAGCCCTGGGGACCGATTGTACAAGACACCCCATCTGCCCATCTCACCAAACTCCTGGAGACCACCTCCACAAGCAGTGTGTATTTCATAAAACTCATGGGATGCCAGCAAAAGAAACGCACTGTAGTGGCTCAATAAAAAATACAAGGAGCCCTAACGGGTTTGGCTCAGTGGATAGAGCATCGACCTGCGGACTGAAGGGTCCCAGGTTCGATTCTGGTCAAGGGCATGTACCTTGGTTGCGGGCACATCCCCAGTGGGGGGTGTGCAGGAGGCACCTGATCAATGTTTCTCTCTAATCGATGTTTCTAACTCTCTATCCCTCTCCCTTCCTTTCTGTAAAAAATCAATAAAAAATATATTTTTTTAAAAATACAACAAAGGGTTTGATATTAGCATCCAAGAAGATTTTCAGGAATCCGAGGGTGTATCAGTTAGCACTTGCTGTGTAACAAACTATACCTTCCCATACTTAAGCCTTGAAACCACAGCCATTTATCTAGCTTCCAATTCTGTGGGTTATCAATTTGAGCTGAGGTTAGCTGGGTCATTCTTCCGTTCTCTGTTGGGCTCACTCATGCATCATGGTCAGTTGGCAGACTGCCTAAGGGGTGCCTGGCATAGGATCACCTCACCTGGAAACACCAGCCTCTCTCTGCATCATCTCTCATACCCCAGCAGGCCGACCCAAGCTTGTTCACATGACAGAGGCAGGATTCCAAGAGTGAGATCAGAAGGGGCAATGCGTGTTAGGGCCCAGGTTAGGGATTGACACATCACCAGTTCCGCCACATTCTATTGGCCAGAGCAAGTCACATGACCAGCCCCGATTCGAGAGGTGGGGAAATGGACTCCGCCTGTTATGGGAGGGGAAGAACCCGGTGCCCATCAGTGCTTGGACCAGGGCAGTTACTCGCTGCCTCTCTCTGCCGCCCACCCCTCCCTTTGTAATCCTCTCCTCCATGAACATGGATTCACAGTTCTCTCTCTGTCTCTTTCTACAGACGGCTGCTCAGTGCTTCTCCCTCCGCGAGGAGACAGACACCATCCCACAGCTTCTACGTCTATAACAGCGCTGTTTCAGGGAACGGCCCAGCTTAGCCCAAACCCCTTTGCCTTGTTTCTGAAACAGTGGGAAAGGCATCTGATTGGCTTACTTGGGTCAGGTGTTAACCTTGGTCCCACCACTGTGGCTGGGGAGCGGGCAGGTACAATCAAAGCCTTGGGAGCTCAGTGCTACCTGTGGGGGCTCGGTACTCAGAAAATGGGGGAGTGTGGCCTTGCTGGGCAGATATCCCAAACTGTGTCTGCTACAGAAGAAGAAAACTTCCCAATGCAGGGAAGTGGGGTGGTTAACATACTGGCTTGACCACTGTCTTCTGAGCTGCTGGAGAATCATGGCAGATGGCAGGCAAGGGGGAAATGAGAATGAATGAAACTCCCATGTGGAAATATCTGACATTTGAGGAACATTCAACAGAAAGCCGCTGACCATGTCATTATGATTAATAATAACAGCAGACTCGAACAGATGTCAGTGTGCCAGCCCCCACACTCTGTACCTCCTGCAAGTACTATCTTATATCATCCACACAGGTAGCTGGTCTCCGCGTCAGGCTGCCTGAAATTTGTTTCTAATCACCCCACTCCCCTGTTGCTCCCCCCCTGAGGCCAGAACCCTAACCCATCTCTCTGGGGTCCCGCCACCTCTTATGCCAGATAAATATCACTGTGCACATGCACAGAGGGTGAAAGTGAGGCTCAGAGGGGGCAAGTGGCTTGTCCGAGGTCACACAGCTACACGTGATGCCAACTCAAGTGCGCCCAAAGCCCGTAGCACAGACCAGCGCTGTCCAATAGGATTCAATGCGGTTATGGATAAGTATATATCTGCACTGTCCAATACCTGCGGCTACTGAGCTCTGTCAATGTGGATAGAGTAGCTGAGGAGGTGAATTTTAGGTTTTATTTACCTTCCATTCATTTGAGTTTTAATTTATAATACCACCCGGGACGGTGGGCTGTGGAATCAGAAGGTGCAATGCTGAGTCCTTATTGTTTAAAAATAAATAAATCACCCTGCAGCCCTATGCACAGACCCCTGGCTGTGTGGCTGTTCTGGGTCCTGGCCCTGTTCTGTCCAAAGATCCAGCTGTGATTGGGAGCCCCTGGTATCTAACCAGCACCTTCCCTATCTGAGGCGTCCTTCCAACCCCTTCCCTCCTCCCGCTTACCTCGCTGTCGGGGAAGAAATAATTTCCCGCCTGGGTGGGCCCTCAGGGAGCTGCTCCCGGGCTGGCTGTGTGTCAGAGGTGGCACTGGAGCCAGCAGCCGCCCCCTGGCCCAGGACGCAGCAGGACCCCGTGCCCTCGGGAGCAGCTGAGCATCACGAGCTTCCTCCCCTCCAGAAAGAAACTGGGCAGAGCTCCTCCCAGAAGCCTGCTGGCCACCCTCTTCTCAACCAGTCCCGTGGTTAAGCTCTCTCCTAGCACTTTCTGCTTGACAACGCTCATCGCTCATCGCATGGTGCCATTAGGTACTTATGGGTGTAATGATTGAACAATGATCTCATCCATGAGGCTGTCAGCTCCATGCCTGCAGGACCCACGTGTGTCATACGATGTGTGCTCGGTACATGTATGTTGATTCCAGGCTCAGGCCGGGAGTGCCGCGCCCCCCCCCCGTTCCCCCCCCTCCGCCGCCCCCCCCCCCCCCCCTCCTCATCAAAAGTTGGGGCCCCCGGGGGCGGGAATGAGAAACCCCCCTCCCAAAAAAAATTCTAAACCCCCCAAGAGTTTTTGGCGGCATTCAGGGGTATGCCCCCCCAAAAACAGAACCTATTTATTTGGTGGTCTTATCCCCCTCTCAAACCCC